AGCCCTCTTAGAACATGTTTCACCTCAACAAACCCGGTTAGTGCTGTCATTGTAAATGCAACGGTGGCTACATTTAGCGATATGGGTTGTCTTGTGCAATTCCTGAAGAGCCTTGGTGACTACCCTAAATGTCCGCTGGCTGCTGTAGGAATAAATTGGCGACTGTGGTGCATCAGGAGTTATCAGTGGAAGCTTAAGTGTTGCGAAATGTTAAGATGGGCCCGTTTCGACGTGATCTCCAAAAGAATTGAAGGAGTTTGTGATGGTGACCCTGTTCAGACTAAGATAATACCCGAGTGATTGTATCTCCTATGCATGTAACAGAGGTAATAACTTTGCTTTTGTTTCTGATTTGTTTGTTTGGGTAACTTAGTTAAGGGGACCTTAGGTAAGCCATGCGAATTTATGTATTTGTCATTCAACAGTTTTACACTATGAGATGTCACATTGTTACTGTTAAATGAATTTGAATGAGCAACGACTGGTGCGAGTCCAGCATTTTGAAATCCTGTAGTGGGAAAATATTTACTCGGTAAGGACAGCTTATTGACCGTGATATTTTCCACGGATGAAACAAGTGGTAATTTACATTAACTCACGCAAAAGTTGAAGCGAGTGCTACCGCCATGCAAACAAATACAATTCCAAAAGTTGCTAGAGTCGGGGCGGATCCGCCAGTTGAGGCAGAGCTTTCTACCTCTCCTGTGTATAAAATAGTCTGATGACGACATCGCTTAACATGTGAAGGTTGCTCAACAGCAGAATAAGTGGAATCGTCATCGACAATTGCCATATATTAAATAGCTCAATATGTGCTCTTAAACTATGACGTAAAAAATGCAGCCAGGAAAAGGAGTCCGTTAGCAACACTCCTCAATGCGGAGGTGTATATCATAATAGCAAGCACTAGCTTACCAGTGGGTGGTGTTTTGATCTTTCCCACGTAAGACAAAAAGCTGACTTGACCTCTAAGTGCCACTACATGTACATCGTGTGAGGTGCAAGGGTTCACTTTGGCGAAGGTGATTGCTCCAAGTGAAAAATTTACTACTTTTTGAATGGAGAGTCGAGCGGTTTCAAAATGAATTGCAGTTAGTGCGATTTGGTTCACGTGGAGTACAGCCATGCTTTTGATGTCCCAACTTATCTGGTAAGTCAGAGAACCGATGCGACTCAAGTTGATATAACACGAATGCCAGGTATCTCATGTCCTTTCGCATTTGTTGTCAAGAGTTCTAAAAAGCACTAAAAGATGTGTAATTGAGCAAACTTGTTCCAGTTATTTATTTTCGCTTAGCCACGAAAATTCAAAGCTTTTACCCTTAGCATACTGACAATAATAGTGGTGAGTAGAAGAATCTTACAATATTCACACCTTCAAAAGGGATGGGAGTTATTAAGGAAAATGTAGTTTAACACCATAGAAGCCGACTCCAAATGTTCGACAATACTGTTTGATTTACTTTACTCAAATGCATGCGTAAAGGTGCCATCCGACCAGATCTAGTGATTGTTATTTACAGCCTACGTCCCCATCACTAGTTCCATTATTCAGTTTGAACTAAAAGATTGAATTGGGGAAATGCTAAGTGGAGTTATCGCTCCCTTGTTGAAATTGGCATGACCTAAAGCGCATATCTTAAGCAGTCCGAGACCTGTGTAGAAAACGCCTATATGCTGACTTATAAAGTGTGTTTTTAGGGTAGGGTTAATGCTTAGGCTGCATTGCTACGACTCTGTGTCATCGCTTCCAAAAAATACCAGTAGGTAACAGAGAGGGATTATGCAGTATTTATTGAAAACTAAGGGGAATACGAGGACTTTAAATGCAATAAACGCGGTATAATGGAAATGGGCGCATCATTGTATTAAGCCGGGCACCAGAACAATGAATGAGATTCGTCGACACAATGAGGGCCAACATTTGACAAATGTGTCTTCATGTGTGCTGATTAGAGCCAAATTTTTAAAATCCATCTTACCACTGTCTCTTCTGCATGCAGTGGCAAAAAGGTAGGTAACAAATACAATGGGCCAGAGTTGAACCGCCATCTTTATTCCACTCCAAAAATGCTTTGCATTTACAACCCATGACGACCCATTTATGGAAATGCTCCGCACCCACATCAGCCTATTAGATATCAAGTTTTTGACCCAATAGCAGACCTATGTATTCATTCAATGAATGCAAGTAAATGTTGATTTGCGTGGGCGATTCCACTTTCAGCACCCGTGCTTGCAAGCATCTGTACGCTTTAAGGCGATTTGTAAAATAGAATGGCAGAATGAAAACCAGGGCTAACTTTTTCATCACTTTGAAGTTACCTATTGTGTGAGAGGAGTGCTTTGAAATCTATACCACCTTGTAATTGACCTTTCCTTATTCAGGAACTCGTCATGCATGGGGGATTGAAATTGCGGCGCCTTCATCACGAATAGCCAACCCCTCGTTTAGTTTGCAAAGGTAAAACGCACTCTGATTCATTGCTGTTCGACGCGAGGAAATTGTGACTTGAGCTTGTGATGCGCCTTTTGACGCAGGACCGTTTCGTCTATGTTCCATTATATCTCTCATGCAGTTTCCACCACAATTTACTTGTACTTCACGGTGACATTACCAGTGCATATCAGTGTTGTTAAATGACACTTTTTGTTTCACCATGTTGCTATATTAATTAACCTTTTATTTCAAAAATAAAAATTATGGACAGTATTTGCTAGATTATACTGATATCCATTTGGCTATTTAGCCGAATAGCCAATAAATTAACTTCTCCTAAAACGCTCAAGCTTTTTACTCACTTTGTCAACAAAGGGTGATTACTTTAAATTTCTGACAAAAAGGCCTGTTCTTAGATACTTAATGGCGAATTGGTGTAGTGCCTTTAGTCAATAATGACTCTGCAAAAGACCCTACCAGTATGAAGCACCTGTTTCAACTAACACAGCCAGCTTTTGAAAAGGCACAAGCTTAGGCTTTAACATTCCGAAGGTCAGCGATGATTTATGCGTAATGAACGTCTTGTCGTCTACAAACTTCTTCGTTCGAAACGCATAACTTCGTACATGGTCGGTACCTATTTAATACATCATGATGCAGTGAGATTTGTAGATAAGTTTTAGCTTACCAATGTAAGGAAGAAAACCATATACCTGCCTACTCTGGGACACCTTAAAGGGAAAGCGCAGAAGACGGTTCTAAAAAGACAGTGTTACGGGATGCTTGTATCATTTAAATGTTCCTCTGAGGGGAAGCGAGGGCAATCAACGCTTACTACGTGTTAAGTGTGTCGTCGGAATTCCATGGGGTGGAGAAGAGCTTTGCACCTAAACCTCCATAAACTTGTGCTAACTTTTGTCAGCTCTCAAAATAGCCCCTTCTCTAATGCTTTAACCTGTTCTTTTGTAGCACATAAGGGTCGGGGTGAAGGAGATAAACGAGGTACATCATCAATTATTGACCGACAGGTTAATATTTTAATTCGTTAATCAATGAAGTATTAAATCAACTGCAGTTTTATTTCTCGCTTAAAGAAAAGTTCCAAACGCTCTCGACTTACTCATAATCTGTACAAAATGCTCATTTTCTGCTTTAAACTTCACCACCAACAACTCTCTCAATTATTCGTTCTTGTTTTTGTCCACTATCAATACTGCATTTGACAATCCCATCATTTAGCTTTTGGCCCTTTCACACTCACTCAGTACACGTAGAGCTTTAGGTCTGTCTCCCTCTGGATGCCTTTGCACATGGAAGTCAACATCTTCTCTTCTTATTGCCCCTATCTGCACAAACGCGATCACTGTCATCGAGGAAATTACAACCGGTTCTGACATAGAGATCCCTTTTCTTCTTCAGGCATTCTACCTCTACGCCAGCCACCAATTATCCATCCTCCTCTGTCTCTGCATCGTCATCTGCCTCCGCCTCCTTCGCTCACCCAATCCACATCCACAGCTGCAACTAGTAACAGGACATTAATGGCTACGTCCTTTGATTCCCATTATCTCTTATTCCATGACCCCTATAGAACACAGCCTACTGCCAGCGCAACTTTCTCTTAACACAAGTTTTAGAAATGTTAGAAATGTGTAAATGTTATCTTTACACACCCAAGTCTTCATTTTGCTACTTATACTTACTGCCAATGGTCCACATTTCCACACTTTCTCAGGTCTCATCTTCAGCAGTCAGTCGGGAGTATGGTCTGACCCACCAGTACTGTCGTGCTGGTTTCGGTGACGAAGACACGGCGTGATGAAGAAGGAGTTCAAATGTGACCTCTTCGACTATCTGCCTGTGAGCCGGTGGTTAGATATACTTGAACAAGCTAAGAGGTGGCAGCTATCACCCTCCACTGTGGCATGCACTCCCATCACATTGTCATCCCTATCCACTGTGTCAGTGGTGTTGGTAATGGCTTTGGCTGGTATCCACTTACGCACACGAACACACACCTATCCATCCAAAGCAATGCCTCTCCTTGAGTCCTCTTCAATATCACTCCATAATACTGGTTGATTTGTCACTTTGACAGTCCTATTGCTTACTCCCCATTTCTTGCCACTTCGTTCAAATCGTAAATCGCTTCTAACTAAAACCCAAATCAAAAGGCTGTACTGCCTTAAACAGTAGCAACACCAGCCAGTATTTATGGGTTTGTGAAAAAAACAACGCTTCTTGTTTCAGGCTTAGCTAACTCAAATCGACTTTGAGCAAAGTGAGTGCATAAGGAGTTCTCAAGGCATTGAATGGACACCAATTTTAAAGTGAATGAAGCCACAAAGATAATATTTTATTCACGATGGCTTTGTATTCCTGCCCATCATTCTGTGAAAAACACTGTTTCTGGTGACCCGACGCTTCCAGGAATTAAGGTGATACAGTTTGTGGAATGCATTTCTCACCTTTATTAAAGAGAATACTCTAATCTTTGAATGTAAACCATAAATACTAGTCTGCTGTTTATGTGGTCTTATCCCTCTTTTGACTTTTAAATGAGCCACTCATGTCATAAAGTTCGGGAAAAGCTGTCACATTTCCATTCTACGCTAACGGTGATTTACACAGACTTAGTGCTGAAAGTTGAGTTCTTGTTGATTGTGCATGCTTGAAAGCCCCCGATTGATGGAAGAAAATATGCATCTACAAATTATGATAA